AGAGAGAGAGAGAGAGAGAGAGAGAGAGAGAGAGAGAGAGAGAGAGAAACAAGGCTCCTCTGGTCTCCACAAGTGTACATGCATTCAAGAAAAGCACCCATACACATAAAAATAGATTGATAGACAGGGTGGGAGGCATAGTCTCAGTTTCCCTTCCAGGGCATGCTCTCTCACCAGACCCCGTCTCCCAACAGCATCATAGGTTGGGTACCAAATCTTTCCTACATGAGCCTTTGGGAGCCGCTCTAGTTCCAAGTGGCAGCCTTGAACTAGAATTATGTACCATCTTGCCGAGGGAATAAAATCAAAAGGGCCCTGGTTAACTTGGGAAAGACATCTTCCCCCAAATCCCAATTCACCTCCAAGATTTTGTTGAGATGTATATTGTCCAGTTTATCTCTGAGACTTTAAAGGAGATGACAAGGCTGTTGAGAAGTTGGCACTCTTTTGAGTTCACAGACCCACACAAACTTTCCAGTGTCCAAATGGTAAAGTAAGCTATTCACATGCAAGCCTATTCTGGAGAGCAGAGCGTTCCTTTACTCCAAAGCACCAACATTTCCCTAGTTGGTGTGGCTAGGACAAGAACCCTGGGTGATGGACTTGAGACTCGCTGAGTAGGAATTCAGGGCGGAGTGATCTGGGCATGAAAAAGGTCTTCCCTATGCCTCTGACTTAGGGGTCGACCAGTCTGGACACCCTGAAGTTTCCTCCCAGACTACATGTTCTTCTGTCTCTGCCCACTAACAGGTAAGAGTCACAAACAGGTGTCTCTCCAAGCTGTCACTCTGCCACACTCAGCCAGGACAAAGGTCGCAGACTGGAACTATTTTTACTCTTCATGATAGAATGTTGCATGAACCTTCTATGTATCTTGATCACCAGGCCTGACTGTGTGTGTGTTTGTGTGTGTGTGTGTGTGTGTGTGTGTGTGTGTGCACAAAAATCACCTCTTCCTTTAGTTTTGTACAAAGCATGCTGATGTGCAGGCTCTAGATATCGAGAGCTGGGAACCAAACCCAGGTTGTCTGCAACGTCAGCAAGTGCTCTTAACCACTGAGCCATCTCTCCAGCCCCAGAAGCTTTATAAGCAGGGCTCCCTTCATTGTAGGTAGGCAGCTCCGGATCTCTGGGTACCTATTATTTCCCTTTAGCTATTTAGAACCAATGGTGCCAAGAACCCCTTGCTTTGCCATTGTTACAGAATAAGCATTTTGGCAATGAGCTTCAAGAAAAGGGGATACAATTACGTCCAATCCTTGTAATACCTTCCTCTTCCATACCCATTTCCTGTCTCTGATACAGTGACCTTCACTGTGTCCCTTCTGGAAGTGGGGCATGAGGGGGCTTCTTCCACACAGAGACCCTCACTCAGATCTCTTCCTTGAGTTGAGGAAGGCAAGAGTTGTAAAGTGCTAGCAGCGCAAGCATGAGGATCCGAGTTCAAATCCCCAGCACCCAGGAAAGATGCTGGGCATGATGGCATGTGCCAGTGATTCTAGTGCCGGAAAAATCTCTAGGGTTTGTTGGCTAGGCAGTCTTGTTGAATTGGTGAGCTCCAGGTTCAGGGAGAGACCCTGTCTCAAAACGAAGGTGGAGTAGTGAGATCATACCCAACATAGATCTCTGGCCTCTTCACACACACGTGTGTGTATGTTTAAGTGTACACACACAGTTGCCAAATTGGGGGCTGTATTCCGTGTTCCTCTCAAATTAAGGAAAAGGATCCAGGTCCAGGCAGGTGTATGGATGGAAAGTGGGGTCACTGACAGAAGCTCACAACTGAATCAGCTGCCGAGTTGAATCTTCCATTTACTATCATGAAGAAGCCAGCATTTCTAAGCCACTTATCTGCGGATCACATTCTGACTTTGGCAGCTGTGGCTTCAACCTGTTAGATTCAGAGAAGCTACAGAAATGGCATAAGGGTCTGAATCTGTGCCCATACTAATGTGAACACCACACACATGCACACACACATACACACACAAGCACACACATACGCACGCACACACATACACACATGCACACATATGCGCGCACACACATGCATGCACACACAAGTACACACATGCATGCACACACAAACACACACACGCATGCACACACACAAGCACACACATGCACTCACAAACACGCACACACACACAAACACACAAACCTCTGCATCCCAAGAACTCCTTGCTTGGCACATGTTTACCATCTTGCTTGGCTTCTGGCTGAGTGATATGAGCCTGTGTTCCCAACAGATTGCTGTGTGTGGGAGATATATTGAGTCTATGGAAGAGTTAACTAAGACAAGACATCATATAGATGTGCTATTAATGTCATATTAATGTTGTATATGTGTGTGCATGTGTAAAATTCTCCAGGGACAATACTTCTTGAAATCAAAACATAAGTTCAAGGTTGCCCTTGCTGCTCAAAATTGTATTAGCAATTGTACCACTTTAAATTAATCAATCACATAAGAATGTGAGACCAAGTTCTGACCATTCAGAGTGAGGCACAGGACCCGTTTGCATTAGGAATAAAAACCCCAGGGTGTGCTTGCCTGCTTGATTTGACTGACTGTGCATCCTTCTGCAGCAAACACTTTTTACTTGCCAAAATATTTTGGATCATACGGTCATTTACTTGAGATCTCAGATCTGTTTCTTACAAGCTAAAAGTAGACTTCAAGACAAAACCACAAATAATAGCTAGCATTTGCAAAGCTTGATCCACTCCAGTCTGTCTCCTTCCCTTCCTCCTTTCCCTCTCTCCCTCCCTCCTTCTCCCTCCCTCCTTCTCTCTCTCTCTCTCTCTCTCTCTCTCTCTCTATCTCTGAGAAAAGGTTCCATGTATCCCAGGTTGGTCTCAAACTTGACTACTTAGCTGAAGGTGACCTTGAACTTCTGATCTTCCCGCTTCACCTTCTGAGTGTTGGTATTATAGATACTGACCACCCTGCAAGGTTTTACGCGTGCTGGAGGTCAATCTTAGCACTTTATGTACACTAGACAAACACCCTACTCACTGAGTTACATCTTTGGCCCCTAGGCTGTGCCCTAAAAAGATGTTGCCTAGGGGCTGGAGAAATGGCTCAGTGGTTAAGAGCACTGACTGCTCTTCAAGAGGACCCAGGTTCAATTCCCAGCACCCACATGGCAGCTCACAACTGTCTAAAAATCCAGTTCCAGGGGATCTGACACCTTCACACCAATGAACATAAAATAAAGATAAATAAATCATAAAAAAATTAAAAAGAAAAGAAAAGAAAAAGATGTTGCCTGGGCAGGTGGGATGACTCAGAAGGTAAAGACTTTTGTTGCCATACCTGACAACTTGAACCTGATCCAGAACAGACTTGATAGAAGGAAAGAATCAACTCCTTCAAATTGTCCTCTGACCTTCACTTGTAAACATGCCCCCATAAATAAATGTAATTAAAATTAGAACATCAATGTAAAAAGTTGTAGCCTTTGCTATCTCATGGAATTTCAAGCACAAGGGGAAGAGGGAATGCCTGATGTTATATACAGTCTATAGTTGAGAAGTCAAGCAACTTCCCCAAGGTCAAACAACTAGAGAATATAGAGAGAGCCCAGGGTTTACTCATTTATTGCGCAGGGCTAGGCACAGCTTCTGGGGTGTGGGTTGGGGAACACAGTAATTTTAGGGGTCACAGAAATGATAAGTTTCTAGTTGAAGAAAAATTTAATACATACTGTTAATGTTTTCCTTTGTAAAAAAACATAAAAAATAAAACTTTTGAACATTAATAGAGGAATGGACCCAGGAATGGAACAATAGCTAGGAACCAGGAACCAGGAGTCCTAACAGGACTCTTGACTTGCCTTGCTAGCAGAGCCAAAATCAAATCCAGGTCTGTGTGCCTCCAAAGGTCACGATCTCCTGAGTGTCCTCTAACACAGGCAAGGAAATCCAAGTAGGGATGAATAGTAAAATAAATGCTGGGCCAAAGCCAGGGCGTACGCTCTTCTATCGCCACCTGGTGGCTTTTCTGGAAACTTCGGCTTAGCCACGGAGTTTAGGATGATGACCCAGGAAGCAGCCGATGAAGGCTCTTTGCATCTGTACTCTCTACTAGAGCGGGGCACTGGCTAGGGATCCCTGTCTAGGCTGTCACGGAAATTCATACATCTTGCTTTGCTCGTACACGCGCACATGCGCCCGCACGCACTCCTCATCGCTGACAACCCCGAGTTCTATCAGTATTGTTCGGGGTAGACTGGACTAATACAAGCAAACCGTGAGCCAATATACAATTTGAAATCGTCCAGCGGCCATATTTTTGAAAACTAAACTAATATATTTTATAAATTTAAATCCGAGGGTCAGTGTGTGGGGGTCGAATCTAGCCGGTCTGACTCTGATTTGGGTCTTTGCTGGTTTATAGGCTCACTGCCAGGCCCAGCGCTTTTGAATGCTCTCTGGTTGCTTTTGCCTTACTGCTGAACATCTGTGTGGGTGGGACCAGAAGACTGCCAACCTGATAACATTCACTCTAGGCCTTCACAGGAAAACTGATTCAGACAGTCTGTCATATCAATCTTAGAATTATTGATTGGCTTGTTCATATCCCCTACCATACTCAATCTTCAAAAACCAAACAAACACAGACACACACACACCCAGGTGCCTTTTATCCTCAGAAACTATATCAGCATGCATAAGGCATTTAAAGTGCTCAGTGACACACGTGTGACTTACGAATACCAAATTGGAGATGCAGGCTTAGAAAAAAATGCGTGCAAATTCCATATGGGTGTTTGCTAAGTACATAGATGGCCTATCTGCCTGCCTGCCTTTCCCATCTCTCTTCCTCTATCCCCTTTCTTTGTGCGTTTCTATGTGAGTGTATGCACGCATGTGTGCATGGATCTGCATGCTGAAAGTCAAAAGAGGTGAGGGCGTCATCCTCTGTCACCTCTCACCTGTTTCTCTGAGGCAGGCTCTGTGTGAACTTACTCCAGTGATCTTCCCAGCTGCCGTGCTGGGGCTACAGGATGTTACAGAAACGCAGGAATCTAAACTCTAGTTCATACAGTTACACAGCAAACATTCTTGACTGCTGAGATATTCCTCCAGTCCTCCTCCTTCCCCACCTTTCTTCTTCCATTTTGATACAGAGTCTCAGGTATTGTAGGTGGCCTTGGGTTTGCTGTACAAGCAAGGAGGTGACTTTGGATTTCCGATCCTTCTGCTTCCACATCCAAGCGCTGCGGTTATGGGAATGTTCCATCAAGCCTCCTGTGTGTGGTGCTGGGGACCTAGGGGTTGAACCCAGGACCTGGTGCAAGCCAGACAGTCACTCTACTATCCGAGCTACGTGTCCACCCCTCAGTCCTTTGTGGCTCGTTTTCTAGGGAGATTTTAGGTATAAAAATTAGGGATAGCAGTCGTTTATAATGAATCTACTTCTCAGTCCACACCTTTGGCTTGGTGCTAGTTACACGGCACTGCCCCTGGGATAACTGAGGGAACACTCTCCACCCAAGATGGTCGTTTAGTAGGGAACAGTGGATATACAGAATGTTCATCAAGAATGCCTGTCCTCTCCCGAGCAACCTGTGTACTTGTTGCTAGAGAAAAATCACAATCCATCACACACACGGATAGAGTCAGGCACTGAGCCAAACGCTTACAAAGTGTGATGCTGTTTAATGACAGCATGCCAGTGACCTGCTGCAGGGAGCTTTCTCTGTGCTCCAAAGCTATTCACCTTCCTCGCCACAGCCCTCCTCACTCTCTGAGTGCCAGGATATGCCCTCTTCTGTCCCAGGAGCCCAGCCGAAGCCTTGTGCTTTCAATCCAATGGCCCCAGAGAACCCAGTGAGTGATTGGTGTTGGAATAAGTTGTCCAGCAACTCTGCCATGTCAGGCTGCTGTGAGTGCCAAGGCGGCCTATGTCCACCATGGTCCTTGGTCACACTGTCTGTCTTTTCCTCTCTCCCACTCAAGATCATTGTCAAGATCGATCAGGGAAAACCAGGTAAGTTAGTTGTACTTAATATTTTATGTGGTCTAGTTGTCTGTGAGATTTCAGGATAAGGAGCAAACTAGTAAAGGCCTGGAGAATTCCCCTAGCGGTGGCGCTTGAGAGGCTCGTTTGTCCGGTTCACTCTCTGTTCAGACGGAGGGGCTGCCCCCTTTGGATTAGGATGGAGAGCTCCACAAGGCCCCGACTTAAGGAAAACCTGTGAACATTTTGGTTTTCGCAAAGAGCTACGTGAGGGTTTGGGATCCCTACAGATGGATGTCGTCTAAGCATTGAGATACTGCGATGGCAGTACCTGATGGGATTCCATGGACCACTATTTCCACATCCGGGATTACACCTGGGAATGCTTTCCAAGCAAAAAGAGGAAGGCCCAACAAGGTGGCTCTGATAACGGACCCAGTAAGGACTGGCTATCAGAGGGCAGGGGCGATGAGCGGAATTAGGAGTATGTTGGAGTCCTCGCCGACAGTGTCTCGTGCTGCCGCCTGATTTGGAAACAGTAGGTGACATCATCTAGAGTGATGCGGGCCCCAGTCCATCATGTCTGATATCCTTATACAACAGGGGTGTGAAGACAGGTCAACCTGACCCATGTGACACTGAAGGCAGGTTAGAGCAGCGCTGTGTCAAGCCAAAGAGCACAAGCCTGCCCTCAAGCCATGAGAAGCATGGAGGCAGAAAAGGGCTCCTCTTCCAGATCCAAGGGAGCATGGCTCCATGGATCCCTTGGTTATTGTCCTCCAGCCTCGAGAGTGGCGACACAGTGAGTTTCCGTTGTTCAAGGCCTCCTAGACTTTCATAGCCTGGGAAAACTACGACAGGAGGATACAGGGAGTTTTATATTATGGCCATGACTCCAGGATAGCACACACCGGTTGTGGAAGAGATGGGCTAGATGTTTAGAGGTTCTTTCTCTTTATTCCTTCCTGGGTTCGTGATAATGGGACACCATCCACCATCACCCACCTGGACTCTGAAGTCACATGACTTGGTTTCACTAACAGAATGCGAGAGGCAGTAATGCCTATAAACATCAGGCCAAGGCCAAGGTGGTTAAGAGTGGGTATGCTTGGCCATTCACAGTTCTGGAAGTCATGGGAAGTTCACGCAATAGTTGCAGGTCAGCCTGAGTTCTATGTGAACCCTTACCTCAGAAAAATCAAGTGAACAAAACCCCCACATATTTCCAGTGTCTTTACACCCTCCATCTTTCTTCCCTTTCCCCTGGACACAGAGCACTCGAAAATGATTCTGATGTGTTTCATTGCCAGAGCCACCAGATGAGGGCAGTGTCTCCTCTAGATGAGTACCTAGGAAACTGTTCACTTAACATTTGTCCCAACTGGACTTTGGTGGGACAAATACATCTTCAATGAGTCTTTGAAAAAGCTCATTGAAGTATTTTCAATGAAGGAAAAAGAAACGTATCTTTATTTGTTTAAATAGTTGGCACATAGGGGCTGCTTGTTGCAGCATGCAGGGCAGAGAGGCAGGGCATCTCTGACTGAGGCAGGGGCGAGGGAAGTCGCCAGAGAAGATGGCAAGTTCTTTCCTGAACTGTAGAATACACTGGGACAGAGCGACTCAGCTATAGATCCCATCAGTTCAATTTAGAGAAATAAACACTAGGAGATCGTTGCTTTCCTCAGCACCTTGTGGGCTAAGCAAATTTCTCCACTGTCCAGGCCTGCTGGTGCAACTTGGCATCTCATTGTCTTCCCCAGGAAAAGGAGCAGCATTGCTGGTGATGGCAGGATGGGGGCAGCTTTGTGAGGAGTGGAGTTCTCTGTGTGTAGATGGGAGCCACAACATAGGCCAACGGTACACGCCAGAGGTGTACGTCTGTGGTCACTTCTTCACGTCACTCTCAGCCAAGGAAGCAAGGCTCAGCAGAACACGGAGTGAGGTAGGGCTGGCCTGCAGCATCACCCACCTGGCTGGTCCAGATAGGAAAAAGAAGCCACTGAGGCCCTTTCCAGGCCAAGTTCACATGAGGTCATCTGTTCGCCGCGAAATAGGGAAAATGCTACTTTTGATGTAAAATGACTTTGCGATGGGTTGAGTTTTGCCGTGAGTTGGAGTGCTATAATCCTTCATGACATCCCCTGGAACACAGCAGAGGCCTGGATGAAAAGGGGTCATCACCATCCTCCTGCTAGACTTCCCCACCTTCAGGAGGTCACTCTTCTGTCACTCAGGAGTAGCCACTGCCTCTCCACTGGCCCCTGCCTCTCCACTGGCCAGTAGTCCCTGGCCCCTTCCTGAGGATGCTCGGAACTTGTGACCCAACAGCTAAAGGCTAGTGCGTGCACAACGTGGAACGTCAAGACCTTACACTTAAGTCATTCCGGCCGTTAACCAGCTGGGCCCCTCACCCAACTCCAAGCTCACCTGCCATGTTTTACCTTCCTGCTACTCTCAGATTGTCCCACTATCCCACTGAACAGCAAGCTCTCTAGGGGCTGCCTAAGGCCAAACTAGCTCCTCAGATGCCCACCACTGCAAATCCTGCCTGTTGAACCAGTAGTAACAGTCATAATTTAATAATAATAATAACACTAATAAACATAATGCTTGTTACTGCTTTATTGTGCACTTAGTATGTGTGAGGTATTAGTCAGTTGTTTTATATATACATAAGGAAATTTCTGACCGACCCAGCTGGGACCCAGATAATGTTCTGACTCTCTTTCCTGTGCCTTCTTTGTACCCTCTTGGATGAGCTGCATCTCTGTTTATAATTAGGGTAGGGGACAGTATGAGTCAGCAGAGGGTCGTTTATCTGTTCCCCAAGTGACTCCTAAATTGGGTTTGTGTTCAGGGTGTGAGGTCAGAGGTTTATGAAATGTTCTAGAGAGTCTGGGAGGAGCTTTGGGCTTAAGCAGACAACGGTCTGCCTTCTGGCTACAATCCAACATGACCGTCACAGTCAGCGAACATTCAGAATCAGGCTTCCAGCAAGGCTACTGACATTTTCGAGTCTGGGTTGCTAGATAAAGCCTAGACTACCCAGTCACATTTGGATTGCAGATAGCTACAAATAATCTTTAGAGTATGGTCAGACCATATTTACTGTACGCTCATGCAAAAAGTTATTTGTTACCTAGAATTCAAATGAGCCTTTGTATCCTGTATGCGTATTTGCAAAATCTACCAACACAGCGGGTTTGCAGGCAGCGAGCGTGGGCCTGTGAGGCGGAGCAGGAGAGGAGGTGCTGGCCACTTTGAGATGCTCTCAGTGAGTTCAGGCCATCAGGTCCTTTTTGGAAGAGCACTATGCAAAGTCACTACCCAGGACAAGACTTAGTAGGGGACCTTCCTGTTTTCTGTCTGCCAGAGTCGTCTCCCAGTCCTGCTCTCCATATCCTGAGTTATCGCTTACTCTCCCAGCTCTGAGGGTCAGTGTGGTTCACAGACAGGCAGCATCGGCAGCATCTGGGAGTTAGTTAGATGTGCAGAAACAGGCCGAGGTTCAGTGTGGAGCACTTGCCTAGGATGCGGACAATGGCCTGTATCCCATCCCCAACTTTCGACAACTGACTCCTATGCCCCGTAAGGACCAAACAAAACCAAACCAATACCTCACAACAAGGCCTACAGTCTATATCTACTTCTCATCTGCCTTCCATGGAGTCAGAGACCATGTCTGTTTTGCTCTCTGGTTCATGCCTAGGGACTGCTGCCTTAGCAGCTTCTGTAGACTCACCAAGCTGCAGAAGCACCAAGTGGGTTCAGTGAGTCTGCCTAGAAGGCCCTGGGAAGGCTTCCTAGCAGAGATACTATGTAGTGAGGCCTGGGAAAGGAAGGGGAGGCCGTGGCGCATGCCTTTAATTCCAGTATTTGGGAGGCCTCTGTGAGTTCGAGGCCAGCCTGGTCTACAAGAGCTAGTTCCAGGACAGGCTCCAAAGCCACAGAGAAACCCTGTCTTGAAAAACAAAACAAAAGAAGAGGAAGAAGAAGAAGAAGAAGAAGAAGAAGAAGAAGAAGAAGAAGAAGAAGAAGAAGAAGAAGAAGAAGAAGAAGAAGAAAGAAGGGGAGGCAGGGTGTGTTCCAGGGAACAAGCCAGAAACCATGTGCAGATAGGAGGTCTCCTGGTCCACTTGTAGGGTGGTGATCTCGTTTGGTTCTTTGTGTCAGGAGCGAGATGAAGAGAGTGAGGTTGGGGAGGAAGCTCAGTCCTGCCTGCCCAAAGCCTAGAGTGGCAAGAGTACAATGGTCTTACCCACATGCCAGCCATACTCCCAGGAAGACACCATCGGGTACTTGTACTTCTTCTCTGGTATCAGGCGATTCCGCTCCTTGAGGTACTGGGTCCGGCCCTGGCCATCACGGGAGATGCCTTGGAAGAGCAGCTTCAGGGTGGCTGGGGTGGGGGGCCTCATTTCTAAGTCCTCTGGCCTGCCTTGGGCTGCTGAGTACCGAGGGGATCTCCTGGCCTGCCTCACTCTGTCTCCCTGGACCCCCTCGGTCTCTGGCCATCCCGCCTTTACCTCTTTTCTCACAGGGGAACCAGTGGCAGGCACTGGGCCGGCTTTCACGACTGACCCACAGGGTGCCTGCCGGAACTGCTTCCTGGTCCTGGACCCCTCTGTCAGGTACTTGTGACCATAGCGGAGATTCCAGGTGGCCCGAGCAACCATCTCCTTCTTTATCCGCTCCCCCCAAAAGGCTTCGCTTTGGGGGTTAAACATTTCCCTAGTGCTAGGGAGCCTAGAGGTGGGAAGGAAGAGTCTTCTTCCTGAAGCTCAAGTCTGTGTTTGGATGGATGGTGTCTGTCTCCAAGGAAACGTGTAGCCAATGAGAGTTAAGCTGCCAGGGCTGCTAGACAGCCCTGCTAGACAGGACAGGGTAGGATCCTGAGGGGACTGGTGTCACCTATTGCCAAGCCAGGCCAGGTCAAGTTGAAACAGAAAGCAGAACCACGGTGCAGTATGATGGCTCCGTGGGTAAGGGTTCTGTCGTGTAAGCCCAATCAATGGCCTGGGTTCCATCCTGGAACTCAGAGTAGAGGAAGAGAACTAGCCCCCAAAAGCTGTCCTCTGATTTCTTCTGGCGTCTCCTCACACACATCACAGGACACATGCACACACAAACACATGCACACACGCACAAACACGCAGGCGTACACACACACGCATACACACACACTCATACACACACACACACACACACACACACACACTTAGTTTTTAATAATAAATTAAAAAAAGAGAGCAGAGCCTGGACCCATGACTCTCCCAGGGTGACAAGTGACAGGTGGGGGTGTCTCATTCTTTACCAGGGAATCATATGCCAAGTATTCCCAGAGGACACACAGGCGTTATGCCTTCTTCCACACAGTGGACCCTGAAGTGGCTTGCTATATACCAGGCACCCAGATGAACTAACAGCAGCTTGGGTCTGAGGCTAAGGGGTTTGTTGTGACAGTTCTGTAGTCTCACTCATCAGAGGCTCAGCCTTGCCACCTGCTAGCCAGTAGCCTGCCTGTCTGTGCACAAGATGATGGTGGGAGTAGACTTTAGTATGAGAAGAGTGTCTCGCGGTGTATAAAGCACTCAGGCAGATTCTGGTTTGCAGGGCAATCTCCATTAATGCCAGCTGGGATGTACTATGTCCCTGCCTGACTGGGCACTATGCTGTGCTCTGAGGCCTTAAGCCATCTCCTTGTTAATGACCAGACCACTGCTGTTTCACAAAGACCCCAGACTGGGCCCTTTGCTTCTTTAGCATACTCTTTACAGGTGTTCAACCAGAGTTCCTTCAGATGGGGAAAATGGGGGGGGGGGGGTCCATTGCCATTAAATGGTGGCCGTTGGGACCCGACATTGTAGGGGGGAAGCGCGCAGGGCAAAAAAAATACAAAAAAAAAACTTAAAAAAGAAAAGAAAAGAAAAAAACTTAGAAGGCAAAAACCAATTTGTTGTGCCTCAGCTTGGCCTGGTCTACAGGAATTTAGCCCATGTGCTTGGGCAGATACTCTACCTCCTTCTGAGGGCTTTGGGTGACTTCTTGGCTCTTAGGTCAGGCTGCAAATTCTGGTTGTTCTACTAGCCACCCGGGATTGCATCTGAAGTCCCATGCCTTCCTGGCTGTGCCTGACAGAGAACTGATGTCCATCTCCAAGGTATTTTCCCATTTTACAGATGTGGGCACTGAGGTTCCGAGGCCATTCCCTGGGGTGTCTTGGCTGGTTGGCTGCAGGGCTGGGACTGTTTAACTTGAACCCTTTGCCGAGGACTTCACAAGTTCTCACTGATGATGTCCAGATCCAGCCCTCAGCAGGCTCTGGTTCCACGGCCCCATGGCTTCTCCTAAGCCCCACAAGAGCCAAGTGTTATGTTAGGGCGAGTGGCTTGCGGAAAATCAGGACAGAGCAGGATGTGAATCTCCTAGCCTGGGCTTAGAACCATCACATTACTATCTTTTCCCACAGACCAGCTTTCTCTCAAAGGGACACCCATTCCTCTCCACTTTGGGGAGCCAAATTACCTCAGCATCCTTCCAGGTGCCCTGGAAGCCCTGGCAGCCCTGGCTTTCCCAGGTCTGCTGGAGGGGTGTGGTAAATGGGCCAAGAGGAGAGGTGTCTGTTTTAGCTTAGAATATAAGGTCCCACTCTCTCCCCATTTTACAGATGAGAACACAGAGGCCATTGCCCGAGATGACTCAGCTGGCCAGCCACAGGGCTGGGACTGAAATCCAGACCTGAAATTGTTACATGGGACACACTGCTTGCAAATCCTCACACACCGGGTCATTCTGTTGCCCGGAGCCTCTGTCACGCTGTTCTCTCTGAGCACACCCTGCCCGGGTTTAGCTGGACCCAAAGAATGTGCCCCGCCTCAGTAGTGACTGGGCGAGGCAAGGCATCCTGGTGCTGGAGAAGGGCGGGTGGTCAGACAGGGGAAACGCGGGCAATAAAGGACCAGAAGATTCTTTGTCCTGGGGAGATAAACAAGTCCAAAGCTCAGAGCACCCTGGGATACGTGCCACAAGTCAGACTTGTAAATTCCAGGCTCCTGGCTGCCTTTGAGAATGCTGAGGAAGAGAAAAAGGGTGTGAGGGGTGGGTCCCCTAAATTCCATGTACATGAGCTGGTCCCCATGGGCTTGGGGGCCCAGACAAAGCAGAGAAGGAGCTTTTGTTTGTCCTTAGGATCCCTCCCACCATGCATTTGGCCAGAGATTTAGAGAAAGGCCAAAGAGAAAAACTGAATCCAGCTTGCTTAGAGCCTTCCCTGCCTCTACTTTTAACATTTGTAAGATAAAAATTATTCCATTTTATTAGGCGATGCCCACCTTGTTTTTTGAGGTGGTTTGGAACTAGCCAAATTAGGTTAGGCCAGCAGGCCAGGGAGCCTGGGGACCCAGCTGTCACACCTTCCGGAACAGCATGGGGGACTCTGGTGGATGCCATCAATCCCAGCCTCCTCATGTGGGTGCTGTGATGGAACTCACGTGTTCTACCACTGAGCTGTGGTATATTCCCAACTCTCTGATTCTCCCACTTAAATACAGATTTCAGGGACTGAGCTGGGGGCATGGCTCAGAGGTAGCGCACTTGTATTAGATCTGCTCACAAATTAACAACATCAACAAAAATAACCTAAAACAAAACCCAGAAAAATCCACCTCCCCAGTGCTGGCTTTGCAAGGTGTAATAAAACAACTCGAGGCACAGGGCTAGAACACCCATGGTTTGGATCCTGTTGATTCTTAAGGCTGAGCAGTTTTCAAAGGAAATCAAATCCCCATGTACTGAACTGAATAACAAATAAATCAAAATGTGGCTCTCAAGGCCTCTTCTGAAGTCCAAAAAAACAAGGGGCCAAGGACTAATATGTGTAAGTGCACTATTAATGAACATTTACTCCCTGAAGTCACCTAGGTAAGCACTTCCCTGAGCTGCAGAGGACAATCTGGGCTCCCAGGACGGGTAGGGCAGGGCGGGTACTGGCTGCAGTTTCATTGGCCACTGGAGTAACTTCCTAGACTCATCAGCTTCAGCTGGGGAACAGGCAAACATTAAGTCAGGAAGGACCTGGCACCAGGCCCACCAAGTTTCAAAGTTTTCAGGGTATTGACACAAACAATAGCCTGTTTCCATAGCAACCACGCCCAGGTGCAGATAAGAGCTGCCCTCTGGTTCTAGGCACTGAGCAACAGGTCTCCACCCTGTCACAGGCAGCAATGGCAGGGCTGTATCCCTAAGGTAAAACTATCATCACCCACCAGGTGCCTACAACCAGCAAACTCTCACACACCCGTGTATGAGGCATACCACTGCCAGCAGGGGTTGTCCACACAAAGTAACAAGCAAAAGAGTGTTCCCACAGATCCCGGTGGAATCCACAGACCATGGGAACCAGTCAAAGGAGGTGTGCTCAAATGGCCAGTTACAAGGCAGTGTTTAGATTCTGGGACACCTTACACCAACGTCAAAGCTGTTATTGTACAAATTCTGCTTCTCCCAGCAAACCTAGTCAGGCCAGAGGGGAGTAAATGAATGGTGGCATCCTTGTGCTTCTCTGGCAAAGCCAGCATCACACTAGACAGGTATCTGCGTGGATTCTTCATGGCCCACAGCCTTACAGAGGCTAGGAGTCTAGGATAGACTTTCAAGGCACAGAGGAGAAAGCGTACCTCTGCCTCCCCTCCCCTCCCATCTCAGAGGAAAACATCATTCCACTATGTAGCCAGGTGTAAGCAGGAAAAACAACCACCCACAACAAAAATACAACACAGAAAGCAGAGTAGGGGATGTAGTTTAGTTGGCAGAGTGCTCGTCCGGCACATACAAAGTTCAGTGTTTGCTCCCGACACAGCATACATACAGAAAAAAAAAAAAAAAAAAAGGAAAGGTTTGAATTCTTTGTTGGGTTACATAGGGAGTTCCAGGCTAGCCTGGAACACACAAGACCCTGTTATGTACATATACGTACCACCAGTAAAAAGGATCCAGATGCCCTGCCTGAACCTCCAATCCCCTTATTCCCAGACTGACGGCTTTGGGGTCACCATGGGTACTGCCAAGGGCTTTTGTAGGGCTCCTGCAACTCTTTCTCTTTGAGATGCTTCCCGGCAGTGCCTTAAGGGTAGCACTCCCATTCTGGAGTCAAAAGGAATAGGCCCAAATCTGTTTCCATATGAGTTCTGGGTTTGTAACTGTGAGGTGTAAATTGAACCCTTGTTAGTTTTGTCATCTGTAAAATGTCAGCTGACCACTGTAACGAGCAGTAGACGGAGGCTAAGCACATCGTGAGTCAACAGCAATCATTTTTCCTGGCACCGACAGGGGCGAGGGAGGGGCAGATGGTTGCACTCAGTACTGTGTCTAAGGCAGTGGAAGTGTGATGGGTTGAAAACCATTTCTGAGATCGCAGATTCATGGGTATTAGGCAAGAAGATTTCTTAAAAATCCATAGTTTCTACTTGGCTTTTTTCTTTGTCTTTTTTTTTGGCTTTTCGAGACAGGGTTTCTCTAGCTTCGGGGCCCGTCCTAGAACTAGCTCTTGTAGACCAGGTTGGCTTTACACTCACAGAGATCAGCCTGCCTCTGCCTCCTGAGTACTGGGATTAACGGTGTGCGCCACCACTACCTGGCTCTACCTGGGTTTTATATCTAGGACTCCAAAGAAGTCATGTTGGTAACATGGCCCATGTACCCTCTTGAGTCCCCTTGATTCTCACACCGGCCCTGGCTTCTTAGGAAAAGACAGCCCTTTGCCTGCAAGAAAAGTCATGCCCATTGTCAAATCACATTGCCCGCACGGACAGGAGATGGGAGAGGCTGACTGTAAAGAGTCTAAGAACGACAGGCAGCTATATACGGAGCAAACATTTTATTTAATAAGTTATAAGATACAGTTTCCAGTTGGCATTTGATTCCAGTTTGGTCTCCCTGTCTATTATGCCTGTGTCCTTTCACATCCGGCTCCAGCTGCTCCAGTTCCTGACAGGTGGCTCTTACCACCCACACCTCTCCAGCTGCTGTGTCTTGGTGCAGGATACTCACTTCACCCCGGCCACGTCCATGACAACATCCACAACACCCCGTTTTTGTTAACATTGGCTCCCGCTATTTGACAGCCTGGTGATCCTTCCCACAGCCTTTAACGAGACCTCAGGTGAGGCCACATGTTAGTGTCTTGGTCCTTACGGCCTCTCATGGGTCCTAACAGTGGTACCCACCCCTTCCAGCTTTTGCAGAGGGGCCTGGCAGTAGCTTATCAGTGGCCTCTGCCATTTAGCAGAAGCCATGAACTGAGGGTAGCTGGCAGTGGCTCTGCCTTTGGCTACGACTACATGTCATCAAGGCTGTTTATAAAGCAGTAGGCAGGGGCAGAATTCCAAAAATGGGGTACAGGGTTGTTCTGCACGCCTCTTGCACCTGAGTTGGCATTGGGATGAAGTCAAAGTGACCAGGGCCCGTGAGGGAGCGCAGAGATGCAATGTGACCTGGGTTGGATGGTCTTATTGTCATCTAGTCTTGAGGGAACTGGGTTGTAAGGGTCTTTGGCAAGGGTCCTCTTCTGCAATGACATTCTTGTTTGGCAAATGCTTGAGTAGACCAGGAGCTTAGGGAGCCAGTCAGTCTTGCCCTGTTCTTAGACCTTTGAACTCAAGAGTCTTGATCTGGAGTACTCTGCACTTTCTTGTACCCAGTTTGGTTTCTTATGATGTCCCACATGTCCTCAAGAGTCAAGTCTAGGGCACTGAAGGCACTTGGAATGAATGGGAAGGTTTGGGGATGGGGTGTCAGGCCCACCAGCAGGCTGAGGACATTGTAAAAAAAAAAATGAATTGCAAACTAGCGACAAAAGCAACTGGAAGGATTCCTCCAGGATTGGATGCAAGCTGTTTTAGGGTACAGTGACGTGAAAGGGGCTACCAGGGATGTGTTCTTCCCCCCACTTCACAGCCAGGACGTAGTCTCCTCTCTCCTTGACAACGTATGTGACATTGTATTGTTGGTTGCCCACATGTTTCATGGAGACCTCTTCACAGGGGGTGGTGGGCCCATGGACCCCGATCAACAGCATGTTGGACCCTAGGGGAAGAGAAAGTTGTTACTGACCAATGAGTCAGGCAAATCAGAGAGAGTACAAGAGGGCTGTGACTAACAAAGGTAGGGAGGCTAGGATTACTGACTGAGCCGGGGTGATGACACCGTAGTCCTCTGACAGGTGGCAAAGCATCACCATTACCAGTAGACACAGTCTGATTTGGATTCCAACACCAGCTCTGACACCCTCTACCCTGCCCCTGGCTTTGGTGACCTTAGACATGAAACATCTCTCTACCTAAGCTACAAATCAGGAAGGCCACTAACTGCCGCTTTGTGTGTGTGTGTAGGGGGGTTGAGACAGGATTTCTCTCTGTTGCCCTGACTGTCCTAGAACTCACTTTGTAGACCAGGCTGGCCTCAAAGTCAGAGGTCCACCTGTGTGTGTCACCATGCCCAGCTTCACTAGCCGCCTCTTAAAGCTTCTGGACGTCACAGAAGTGACTGAGTCGAACCCTTAGCACATAGGGTTACAGCGCTGCCAGCTGTTGGGTTCTTTTGCTTTTGAAAGACCCTTAAAGAAAGAATTATGATTCTCACTTGAGAAAAGAAACTGACTTCTAGGGGATTCCGTTAGCCCACCAAAGGCAAGTTGCTACAGAGCTTTATGAATGAACGAAGAGACAGCTGGATTTCCAGCCCAGGTATGCTGGGTGCCAGAGTCAGGCCTACCAAAACCTAAGGAAATGTTCAGTTTTAAAGAATTACTAATATTATGTGCATTGGTATTTTGCCTGCCTGTATGCTGTGTGAGGGCGTGAGATCCCCTGGAACTGGAGCTACAGTCATGAGCTGTCATGTGGACGCCGGGAATTGAACCTGGGTCCTCTGGAAGAGCAGCCAGTGCTCTTAACCACTGAGTCATCTCTCCAGTCCAAATCAATTTTAAGCCATGATTAAAGCAACTGGTGTCAGAGAAAGGGGTTAGGTGGCCAGTTTAGTGAAACGGGGACACTACCATCTTCCATTTGTCTGAAATGGAAACACTACCATCTTCCATCTGTCTGAAATGGGGACACTACTGTCTTCTATTATGTCTTGGTGAAAGAATCAAGAAGTGAAAACAAGGAAAATCAGCTAAGAATATTAAGTACAGAAGGGCAGAGGAAGAAACATGGTTATTTGTAAGTACGGGAGAGATCACAGAAGATGCTGGTGGAAACCCTGAAGTAGGTGAGAAGTCTATACTCCCACAGCAGAGCCCTTCCCAGCAGCCCTGCAATGCCTACCAGCTTTGCTGCAGTCCACCAGGAAAGAACTCTTCTGGCCCACGAAGGCCTTCGAGAGCCCCGCCCCTTTGGAGGTCACCTTGCTGGCATCTGAGGATGACTTAGGGGTGGCACTATAGCAGGTTTCCGTCGAGGACCTGGTCACTGATTCCACCAAGATGGATGAGGTCTCGTTGGCGGAGCCTGGGCCGACAAGACGCTGGCCTAGAGCATGGGAAAGAGGAAGGCATGAATGGTCAGACCAATGTGTGTCTGTGTGGGGTGTGGTCCTGTCAGCCCAGCCGCCAAGTACCTCTCTTGCAAAAGCCCTAAAAAGCTCCCGTACCTCGATACAAAACGACTCCATCAGCATCTCAAATCCGTACATATTATGGTGCAAGGGTTCAAATCTTAAGCAATCTATCACCATCCATACCCCTAATAATTTTTGGATTTTTTTTTTTCTTCTTTCTGACAGGCTCTCACTCAGCCAAGGCTATTCTCAAATGCCTGATCTTCCAGTAGTCTGAGATTTCAGGAGTATACTACTATGCCTGGCTCCCAGCCCTTGCATCATCACTTTTTAAAAGACAGGGTCTTACTAGGTAGCACAGGCTAGCCTCAAACTTACAATCTGCCTGCCTCAGCTTTCCGTGGTGGATCACAGGTATATATCACCAAGCTATGTCTTCTAGATCCTTGGGGTCTTACCCAGACAACTAGAATCTGGTTTGCTGGGCAAATGGGCCAGGTTCAACAAAGGATGACATGGCTGAGTAATTCCTCCATAGGCTAAAGACCCAGTAGCACTCACATCTTGTTGTTTCTGTGGAATACTTATATAATGCAGCATAAATGGCGGGGAGAACAGAAGTTGATTCCGAGCATGAGAGAGGATGGCTTTCCTTTCTGAGTTTTTTAATTCTTCTACAATGAGCCCACACCACTTGCGTAACAGGGAATCATGCTGCACATGGTGGGCACCCTGAGTTTTACTGTTTGGTATTTATTTTAGTGTTTTTGAAGAAGGTAGGCGTTATAGAATTCTTTTATTGTTATTATGTGGAAGGTGAAGATTAGAAACAAG